AGATATCGAAAATAGTTAAAAATGTGTTAAACGTGAGTTTTAAAAAAAGACGTTTAACTCGCATTTTCTTTAAAAAAATTCAATTCTTTCATTAACATTTATTATTTTGGTAATACAAATTTCTCAATGTAATTTTCATTCTTTTATTAGGAAATTTTATATGGAATATGACATAAATTTTTTTTAAATTTTACATCTGAAAAAGTCATATCTCATATAAATTTTCGGATGCAAAATTACATGGAGTATGATTTTTTTGGATATAAATTTTCGATTGTAAAATTTCTCTTAATTTCTTTGCAAGTTCGATTGTGACCCCCTAACTTTTAAGTTCTGCGTCTGCCCCTGGCTACGATTGATCATTTCGCACGCCGTTAACGACATAAAAATTAGATTGTGAGCACTTGGAAATGATATTAAGAATGCAATATTTCGATTTCGTTTCACATCTTATAATGCTTTCGAAAATTGAAACAAAACATAGAAATTTAAAAAAAATTCGTTTCACATCTTATAATGATTTTGAAAATTGAAACAAAATATAGAAAATTTTACATAAAAAAGAAGAAGCAAAGTTTGGAGGGCACGTGCCCCCAAGCCCACCCCTGGGTCCGCCAGTGCAAACGGTAACAGAATAAAACTTGGGGGTGTAAAATTGAAAATATCACCCTCTATGTGAACTATGTTTTCGATTATTACCAATACGATTTCCCCCGTGAATCTTCATGTGCATGGAAACATACGGACATTAACACTGTATATAATAACCCAGGACAAACATGTGCTAACGTGAAAAAGCAAAATGGAAGACTGAAGAGCACTAGTCAAGCAGCATTGGGAAATGGAAGAGGCACCTTCATTTTCAAGACCATATTCTTTCCCACCCTTTCATATTCATCGTCTATGGTTCCGTTTATCCTTTATCTATTATTGATGCATTTGCATTCTAAGAGTCCATACACATTTATATGAGTAGGTTTACTGGTGCTTTGTATGGCTTCGGTGCTTAATTTTCTGCCATTTTGCTTTCACTGCAAAGAAACCCCAGTGTCTTTATTTTTCATGCTGGCTAACAGTTTTGACTTATAAGTGTTTTTTTTTCCCCCAGAATTTCAGTGCTACTGTTAGACAAGGCAAGAAGAAGAAAAAGTTGGTTGGTAGGATATTCAGAAGTTGGTGAAAAGTGAGAAAGGAAGAGTGTTCTTCAAGCAACAAGATGGCACGGCCTGAGGATTTCATTCGTTTTGTGCTTTCTTGGACCATTGACGACGTCCTTAACGAGAATCTTTACAAAGAAAAGGTCTTTTTTAAGAATTCATAGAGTTTATTTTGTTCACTTGTATGCACATTGGGAGTTTATTTTGTTTACTTGTTTGCAATTTGCACTTATTTAATATTGATTCCACCCACTTTGTCTGCTAAACATGCGGGACTATGTGGCTGTGTGCTATTTAAATAAGAACAGAATTGAGTTATAATTTCTTTAATAAAATTATAACAATTTGTCACGAAAATATGCTGATGAACTGAGATTGTGCGAATTAAAGAGGTATTTAGATGAAAAGTCGAAATTGAAATTATGGGAGACCGTAATTGAGCATTTATCAAAATGCTAATAGTTTTTTGTTCCAGTATTTCATTTACAAATTTCCATCATAATATTCGATTTATTTATTTCAATTTCATTCTTGCAATTAGATGGTGAAGATTCCAGAGTTATTTCAATCTGTGGATGGTTACCTTGGTTCATATGTCTTCCCCTTACTGGAAGAAACACGTGCTGAACTTAAATCTTCCATGTACACTATTAATGCAGCACCTTTTGCAGAGGTGACATCTCTTAGAGCAGCAAATCCATCTGATAAGCAATCATTTCTTTACGACGTTAAAGTTGATAGCTGGAAAAATAGATTTTTGGATAATGGTAGTAAGCCATATAGAACCGTGCCTGGAGATGTTGTTTTGCTTTCAGATGGGAAACCTTCGGCGGTTGCTGACCTACAAAGTGCTGGATGGAAATGCACTATTGCATACGTGACTCATATTTCAGAAAATGAGAATGATAATAATTGTGTGATTGCCAATTTCAAAGTGGAATCTGGGAAGTGGTTTGAATACGAAGATCGATTGGGCAATTCGGTCTATGTTGTTTTCTTGATGAACACAACAACTCATACAGAAATATGGAATGCATTATCCATGCATAAAAATCCCAAGATCATCGAAACAGTTTTGTCCACTAGTAATCTGGTAAGTTACATTGCTGCTATAAAGGTGAATTGATGCTATAGAAATAAAATGTACTCAGAATTTGTTTTATTTCTTGGGATGGAATGACGCTGGCACTATATAAAATAATGAGCAATGAAACACATTTTTGAAACCACAAGATTTGACCTTGTCTTTCAATTTATCAGTTTTATACGCTGTCAAATTTTCACATTTTTTCCCACTGTATACCTCCATAAAATTACGTAAATTAAGTTGCATGCTTGCTGGGTAGTTTTTTCTTATATTTACACGTATTTTTCTATTATTAACATTTTCTATTTTGCCTATAATGGCGTCTGATAAATCTGCATATGTTGTATCAGGCTGAAGATATGTGTAACGTTTGCTCTCAACGCGGTACTCAACTAAATGTAGCAACTATATCGACTGTAATGTCCAAGCTGAATAAATCGCAAAAGGAGGCAATGATGGACACCATTAGGGGAGTACAATGTGAGCACAAGTCTACTGTGAAACTCATATGGGGTCCTCCCGGGACTGGGAAGACGAGGACTTTAAGTGTAATGCTACTTTGTCTCTTGCAAATGAATGCTAGAACCCTTATATGTGCCCCAACAAATGTAGCAGTCGCAGGTCTGGCCACTCGAGTATTAAAATTATCTAGGGATTCATTTAAAGCTGAATACGAGAACGGAATTTCATCTTATCCATTGGGTGACATCCTAGTCTTTGGGAATAAGGATCATACGGAAATGTTTTCAGACATTGAGGAAATATCTCTTGATTATCGTGTTGATAAGCTTGTAGAGTCCTTATCACCTGCAGCTGGGTGGAAACACTGTATAACTTCCATGATCTGTTTTCTCGAAGGTTGTATTTCTCAGTACCGTTTCTATGTGGATGAATTCTATAAACCAGAATCAAGATCTTTGTTGGAGTTTTCTAGAGACAGATTCAGACATACAGCATGGCCTCTCAGAAGACATATGTTGACATTCTTTAATCATTTACCTAGGAATTTCATTGGTGAACAAAATTTTCAATACATAGTGCAACTTCTTTCCCTACTGGACTCTTTGGAAACATTGTTGTTTAAAGACAACATGAAATCTGAAGAACTGCAACATATATTTTTACATCAGGGAATGGTTGGTTCTTCCAAATCATTTGTTGATACGTTTTCCTTACCAGATGGGATAACCAAGTGTCTGTCTACTTTAAGATCCCTACAGTGTTCTTTTTCAAAACTTGACATTCCTAGTGTCATGAGTAAAGATGAGATAAAAGGATTATGTTTCCAAATGGCTACCTTAATATTTTGCACAGCTTCTTCATCTTCTAAGCTACACTTGGTGAATATGAAACCTCTCAAATTGTTAGTCATTGATGAAGCTGCTCAATTAAAGGAGTGTGAATCAATTATCCCCCTTCAAATTCCCGGACTGAGGCATGCTGTTCTTGCTGGAGATGAATGGCAATTACAAGCTACAGTTATCAGCAAGGTAAGAATGATTCTAATGCGTCTATACAGGCAAGTTAGGTAATTCAGCAGATAGCGTAGTGTCTAATTGTCATTTAAGGGTGTGTTATGGAATATGCAGTGTCTGATGACTTTTTTGAAATAGTTTATCTGACTTTATATATCTATACAGTCGTCTGATGAAGCTGGCTTTGGAAGAAGTTTATTTGGAAGACTGAGCTCACTTGGTCATCCTAAGCATTTTCTGAATATGCAATATAGAATGCATCCATTAATTAGCTGCTTCCCCAATAAAAATTTCTATCTCAACAAGATGTTAGACGCAACCAATGTCAAGAATAAAAGTTACAACAAAAGCTATCTACCAGGGAGGATGTATGGTCCCTATTCGTTCATAAATGTTTTTGGAGGAAAAGAAGAAATGGATGTTGTTCGACAGAGTAGACGAAATATGGTCGAGGTAGCTGTAATAGTGAGGATAGTGCACAAACTCTTCCAAGGTAGGCCAAGTTGATAGAATGGCTTCTCTTTTTCATTATCTTCTATTTGTACTAAATATCTCTTGGCTACCTACTTCGTGTCTACTTGCCTATATATATTCAATATTTTCACTACAGTAAAAGCGTGTTTATACCAAATTTTCAAGTTGAGTGTGCTTAATATCAAACCCGTCAAATTATCATTTTTGTTCCTTAAAATAAAATATTAGGAATGCAAGAAATGTTTCGTTGTACAAGGTCTTTGTTCCTTCCCCTACATAGTTTTTGCTGGAAATCAAGCAAGGAACATAATAGAAGCATGAAGATATGAATTACAGAAATTGTTAGGGAATCAATTTCATAAAATCTCCATGCTCTCTTTCTTAAAAGTTATCGGAAAATCCTTTTCTTAAAGGAGTTGTTCAAGTGAAAAGTTAAATGTTTCTGGGGAAAAAGAAATCACCACAAATCAATTGCTCGTCATAATTTTTAACTTCTTTGGTATGTTTTGGCAATTGGAAAAATCTCGTAAATACACATATTTTTGCGGAAAGTGGTTGAGTTCCATGGTTTTGGGCATCTGCCACATTGACAACTATTTGTTATGTGTACTATAAACAGCATGGAACAAATCGAAAGAGAAACTTAGCATCGGTGTAATATCACCCTATTCTGCTCAAGTTGTGGCAATTCAAGATAAGCTTAGGCTTGAAAACCATGAGAAGGTTACTGTCAAAGTCAAGTCCATCGATGGATTTCAAGGTGGAGAAGAAGATGTCATAATTGTATCTACTGTAAGATCTAACAATGATGGTTTCATTGGATTCTTGTCTAGTCCTCAGAGAACTAATATTGCTTTGACAAGAGCTCGGTATGTGGTCAGATGTTCGTTTATTTGTTTTCCCTTTAATTTCTTGTTTGAAGATTATGGTTCTTATGGGCTCTATATTCTGTAGGCATTGTCTTTGGATCTTGGGAAATGAAAGCACACTAACGAATCGTAATTCAGTTTGGAGAACAATAGTATGTGATTCTAGGGATCGTCACTGCTTTTTTAGCGCTGATGAAGATGGTGACTTGGTTGAAGCCATTATAAATGTTAAGAAAGAACTAGATCAACTTGAGGATCTACTGCATGGAGAGAGTATAGTGTTTAAAAGTGCAAGATGGAAGGTAATTTGCTCCTGTTCCTTGTGCTATTTTTTAGTGAGTTATGATGCTACCTGAGTAAATTCTGTTACTTACGAAAGGATCAGACTCATTTTATACTTACGTTGATGCATTCTAAGACTAGATTTCCGTTTTGCTTACCTCTGTGCTACTTCTGTTAGGAACATCATTTTTCATCCACATATTTGCCTTAGATTACTTATCTACCATCTTATGGAAACATTTTATCTCCATTTTTTTTCATTTATCATTTTATGTACTTATTTGGTCAAAGTTTGCTCATTTGTTCTTTATTCATTATTTTCCTAACTTCACTTTTTTAGTTAAGGATTTTATTCATAAATATTTCTTGCTTTTCAATTGTGTTTAGGAGTTAAAGTTTATATCCTTATGATGTATCTTTTGACAAATTCAGGTAGTGTTTAGTGATAATTTCAGAAATTCGTTTGAGAAATTGTTATCTTCCCATTTGAAGAAGTCAGTCATGTGCATTTTACTCAAAATTTCTTTTGGATGGCGACCCAAGAGAAGAAGTGTGGACTTGATGTGTGGGACTTCTTTGCAAATTGTGAAACAATTCAAGGTTGAAGGTTACTATATAATTTGCACTATAGATATATTGAAAAAGTTTCAATATGAGCAAGTTTTGAAGGTTTGGGACATACTATCTTCGGAGGAGATTCCAAAATTCTTAATACGCCTTGATTCCATATTTAATTCGTACACACAGGATTTCATCAATCGCTGCAAGGAGAAATGTTTAGATGGGTATGTCATTATGTTTTGTTCTGTTGCATCTTATTACAAAGTGTTGTGATGATTCTGGTTACATATTCAGTTAGTGGACATGTATTTTTCTCATTACATCGTTCTCTAGGAAATTATCCCCATTATAAAATTTTCACTTTTTGTCTAGGAATTTGGAAGTTCCAAAGACTTGGCCAATGTCTGACGATATAGTCCAGTACAAGGACCAAAATGCCAATTATGATGGTGATTCAAGTAGTGATGTAGGTTGCAGGAGTTGCATTGAAAACTCCAAGGTGAATGAGAGTTTATTATTGATGAAATTTTACTCTTTATCAACTGGTATTGTGAAACATTTGCTATCTGACAAGTTGGGTAGAGAACTGAATCTCCCTTTTGAGGTTAACGATCAGGAGAAGGAGATAATTTTATTTCCTAAAAGCAGCTTCATATTAGGCAGATCGGGCACTGGGAAAACTACAGTTTTGACTACGAAGCTTTACCGCAAAATCGAGCAGTATTGCCTGGCCTTGGATGGCTTTAATTCGGAAGAGAGAGGTATCTGTATGAGAAATAATGCAGATGACAGTCAGTCTATGGGTAAGTTTAAGGGGAATATGCTGCACCAGCTTTTCGTCACTGAGAATCCACTGCTCTGTTTTGCTGTCAAACAGCACTTGTCTCAGCTGAAAAGGTGTGTTCAATGATCATTAACGTGTTACTGCCAATCCTGTTAAAATAACTGTTGTTCCTCTGTTCTAATTTTTTATGACAAATTTTGAAGCCCTATTTTACTGAGTGGTGGCATGCTCTTCCTTGATTATTGAACATCTTATATATATATATATATATATAGTTATTTCCCAATAACCTATTTTAGATGCTCTTGTACAACATAGTTTTTTAACATTTCTAATATGTACAGCTTTGTTGACGGTGGACAGTTCGATGCTGATAATAGTTCTAATGTTATGTATGACAAAGATGAAATGTCACAATTCCAGGATATTCCAGATACGTTTGTTGGCATTCAACCTGATATGTACCCTCTTGTTATTACATTTCGTAAGTTCTTAATGATGCTCGATGGTACTTTGGGTAATTCATATTTCGAGAGGTTTCGATGTCTGAGGGGCTTTTCTCAAGAAAAAGGAAGTACAACATCAGCTGCATTACAGACCTTTATAAGGACGAAGGAGGTTAATTACGATCGTTTCTGCTTCTTCTATTGGCCCCATTTTAATAAAAAACTGACACGTAGTTTTGATCCTTCAAGAATATTTACTGAGATAATGTCTCATATAAAAGTAGGCTTAGAAGCAGGGCTAAGCAGGGGGGACTATGTTGCATTGTCTGATAAAAGGGTATCTACTCTAAGTGCACAAGAAAGGGATGCCATCTATAATATTTTCAAGGACTATGAGAAAATGAAAGCAAAGCGTTGTGAATTTGATATTGCTGATTTAGTGATGGACCTTCATTTTCGCCTAAGCAATGAGAATTTGCAGGGTGACAAAATGGATTTTGTGTATGTTGATGAGGTGCAAGACCTCACCATGAGACAGATAGCTCTTTTCAAGTATATTTGCAAAAATGTTGACGAAGGATTTGTATTTTCTGGTGACACAGCACAGGCCATTGCAAAGGGTGTCGACTTTAGATTTGAAGATGTACGTTCCTTATTCTACAATGAGTTTGTCATGAAATCAAGAAATTGTAGATTTCCCAGAAGAGAGAAAGGACTTATATCAGATATTTTTAACTTGACTCAGAATTTCCGTACTCATTCTGGTGTGTTGAAATTAGCACAGAGTGTAATTGATCTTCTTTCACATTTTTTCCCAAAATCTGTTGATGTATTGCCACCGGAGACCAGATTTGTTTATGGTGAGCCTCCAGTTGTAATTGAGTCAAGAACTAACGAGAATGCCATTGTATCTATCTTTGGAGGAAGTGGAAATGTTGATGGGAAAATGTCAGGTTTTGGCTCCGAGCAGGTCGTACTAGTACGTAATGACTCTGTGAAGAAGGAAATTTCTAATTCAATTGGACATCAAGCTCTTATTTTGACGATAGCAGAGTGCAAAGGCTTGGAGTTTCAGGTGAGTAATTTTTGCGTTTGTCTACATTTCACACTTTAACTTGTTAATTCTGAATGCTGTGATTAATGCCAGATGTAACCGTAATAAGCAACCAGGAAGTGTGATGCCCCTAATTCGTTTCTTTTTCTTTTGATATCTCATATGCAGTTTGTTTTCGCTTAGTTTAAACACCAGTTTGTAATATTTTATCTGTTCTATTATTATAATTTATAAAAAATATGGAAATGTTAAATCTTAATGCAAATATACTATTGCTGTCTACTTCTACTGATTTTGTGCCTTACGTTTTAGGATGTTTTGTTATATGATTTTTTTGGTTCGTCACCTCTGAGGACCCAATGGATGGTTGTCTATGAGTTTTTAAAAGAAAAAGGTTTTCTCAATTCCAGTTTTCATTATCCGAGCTTCAGCAAATTAAGACACAGTGTCTTGTGTTCTGAACTGAAACATCTATATGTTGCCATTACTCGAACAAGGCAAAGACTGTGGATATGTGAAAACAATTATGAGTTTTTCGAGCCTATTTTCGACTATTGGAAGAGACTAAACCTTATTCAAGTAAAGAATGTGGACGTTTCACTTACTCAAGCGATGCCAAGGGCAAGCAGCCGTGATGATTGGAAATCAAAGGGAATCAAGGTAATTCTCCTGTTCAACACAGTTTTTGCTTTTTCCTAGTACCTGTGTGCTGATATTTGACTTATTTTTTAAATGTTGTCACCTCATTTTGTAATCTCTCACTGCTGTTTTATATCTTCCTTCATTATGGTCTTGAAATGTTAGCCTTGTAAGCTTTGCAGCTATTTTGGGAAAAGAAGTATGAGATGGCAATCACGTGCTTTGAAAGAGCTGGAGAACAAATATGGGAGAAATGGGCCAAGGCAGCTCACCTTCGAGCAGCTTCAGGCCAAATGTTTGGTTCGAATCCCAAATCTGCACGTACAATGCTTAGAGAGGCTGCAGAAATGTTTAATTGTATTGGCAAAGCTGATTCTGCGGCTGAATGTTTTTGTGACTTGAATGAATATCAAAGTGCAGGTCCGTTATGGCTGCAAAGCCTCCATTAACAGCACATACAGAAAGTACACTGTGATACACACGACAGAAAGTCTTTCAAATACTTTTGTGATTTATAAATACTTGCAGTGAAGCATGCTTTTCTCTTTTTGAATTTAGTTTATATGAACACTAATAAAAATATTTTCGCGCATCAGTTAGAAGTTCAACTCTGCAAGTTGCAAAATACAGTTCATAAATCCTGGAAGGGCGGTAAAGTAGATGTCCTTCCCTATCAATAAATGAAAACAAAATGAATTGCGTGCCCAGACTGATTTGGTAACGGCATCATGGTTTCAAATTGTAATCTGAATAGCTTTTGCTGCAGGAATGATTTATTTGCAGAAGGGCGGGGAATCTGATTTAAGAAAAGCTGGGGAATGTTTTAGTCTAGCAGGATGTTATGAGCTTGCTGCAGAAGCTTATGAGAAGGGAAACTTTTTTGCGGAATGCCTTTCAGCATGCTACGAAGGGAATTGTTTCAACAATGGATTGCGATACATTAAGTACTGGAAACAGCAGTCAGCTAGTAATGATGTTGTGATGGGAATATATAAAGATTTAGACAAAATTGAGCAAAACTTTTTGGAGAGTTGTGCTAAATATTATCACAAGACTTCTCATAATGTATCCATGATGAAATATGTTCGTTCTTTCCAGACAATGGAATTGAAACGAAACTTCTTGAAGTCTATGGATTGTATTGAAGACCTATTCTTTCTGGAAGAAGAGTTAGAAAACTTCATGGAGGCTGAAGAAAACTTAAAACTCTTAGGAGATCTTAACCGTGAGATTAATCGTCTCAGAAAAGGGAAACATTATAGAGATGCCTCTTTATTCATCCTTGCCCATGTACTTTCTTGCTCTTTATGGGGGTCTGGAAGCAATGGTTGGCCCCTGAAGTCGTTTCCTCAAGAGGAAAATCTTAAAAGTAAAGCAATATCAATTGCAGAGGAGGACGCGATACATTTCTATGAATTTGTTTGTGAAGTAGTCAAAGTTTTGTCACATGAGCAGAGTAATATGTTTGAGTTGATACAGTGTTTCAGAGCTTCAAGGAAGCACAAAAGTCTCATGGGTGAATTTCTGTCTGTCAGAAAACTGCTAGATGCCCATTTTCAAGTACATCCGGCAGAGTACGAGTGGGAACATGAAATGCCTGTTGACTTAAAAAAAAATTCTGAAGAATTTTTTTTGCAGAATCAAGTCACTGCCAGAACTCTCTTTTACATTTGGAATGTATTCAAGAAGAACATTTTGGATGTCCTAGAATCTCTTGATTGTCTTGAACGGGAAGACTTCAGAGAATGTAAGCATACGGTTGAGTTTTGTTTGAATTATTTTGGCGTCCGCAGACTGTCAAATAATCTTAATGTAACCTATCTCTTACTGAACCCTGATGCTAAATGGGTTGAAACCATTGAGAGGTTCGGGCGGCAGAACAGAAAGGCAGTGACTCTTGATACTCATTGTATTGTGTCAGCCTCTAGGAATTATTGGCGAGGAGAATTGGATTCTGTTGGAATGAGAGCTCTGGAAGTTCTTGAAGACCTTTATAAAACTTCTGTGGTGGAATCCTTGTCTAGGTATTGCCAAAGCACGTGCCTCACCTGCATGTTTGACATAGTGAAGTTCTTCATTGACTCCAAATCAATTGATGTGAAGAATGCTTCTCCCTTTGCGTTGCACAGTTTTGTGGAGCTATATTTCAGATATTTTGAAATTGTTTTCCCTTTAGACTCTCAGTCATCCTTATCAGAAAATATGATCTCTCTGAGGGGAACTACACTGTCCCAGAATTTACTTGAAGAAGTTATCGCTAGTAATATTAGCACGAAAAATGAACTTACCTATGGGCAAATCGGAGAGGTTGTGACGATATGGCTCGGGTCTGGCATGACAAAACCTGACCTTAATAAGATGATTGTTCAAAAATTCCCCCAAACGTCATCCTGGAAAGAGTTTATTAAGATTCTCGGTGACGATGGGATTGAGGAGTCAGATTCATCTGGATCTCTGTTGAGCAGTGGACTGATTCAAAAGTTCAGTCAATCTCTGGAAGAGACTTATATTGCAGACTGGAATGCAAAGGGCTATATGACACCTAATTGTTTCTTTTATCTTATGGAGCGCCTTGTTATTTTGGCATCTCAATACAGTTGTTCCTTTTTCACTGTAAAATCAGCATTTGTAGAATGGTTAATATATCATGAATCTTGTGCCAAATCAAGTTCAAGTTTAGTCACTGACAAGCAACCTTGTCCGGAAAATGTCTTTGAGTTTCTAATTGATGTTGTCCAGCAGTTTCTATTTGATAGTTGTGACATAAAAGAATGGATTAGAAGTTGTAATAATAATCTCAAATACAATTATCAAGTGCTGGGGTTGAGATTGTTCGTTATTTTGTGCTTGCTGTGCCTGAACTCGGGAATGCATGCCAATGTACTTTTTGAGCTGCTGGATACTTCGCAAATCAGATTCCAGCTGCCAAGAGAATTTTGTGAAGCTCTTCAAAGGGAAAGAAAGTATGATCACAATGCACTAAATGCAAATGCAGTTGCAGAAGCATTTAAAATTATTGGGAATCCTCTTGTCATTGTGAACATGGGAAAAAATAATCTGGATTTTGTATGTCCAAATGCAATTTTTCTTGACATGGGAGGGTCCCCGGGCAAAAAAGACATCTTGGAAGTTTTGTTTCCAAGAAGCTATGAATCTTCTCATGTACGAGTCTCTTTTGATGATGAATTATGGCTGAATTCAGCTGACAATCATTGCGCGGCTTCCTCAGTGCCACCTTTTGAAAGGGCATCAAAATTGGGTCACAAGATTGGTAATGTCAACCTGCAAAAAAACTGGGGAGTTCTTCAGGAAATATCAGATATGTTAAAATCAGTGGAAAACAGATATGATGAAAACTTGAAGGTAATGGAGACATTTGTTATCATTTTTCAACTTGTTGACTGACTCAAGATTGATTGAGTAATCACCATCTATTTCTTCAGGTCGGAGTGGAGGGGATTAAGAGCTTAGTTGCTGAAATTACCCAGTTCTCTGAGGAGAAATCTGCAGCTGATGGAGATGAAAGCATACTGGAGGAGGCCACCAACACAATTTTGGAACTGGAGCAGCTTTCTTCTTTGTTAGATAAAAGGTTAGTTATGTGGCAATTGGATTAGTAGCTGGTAACCAAAAAAATAGAATTGACCGTTCAAGTATATATTAGAAAGATTGACAAATCGTATTACAAATTCTGATAATGGGATTAACCTATTGCATGCGATTGTTATATTAGGACTATAAATTAGATTTCTATATTTGCTTCGGATCTGTTAAGATCAAGTTCACGTCACAAGCGACTTTTCATTGTTCCGAGCGTTTTTGGAATAAGTGTACTAACTATATCATGCTATTGCCCCCTTACATAATCTTGAAATAAGTCTTCTCTTTTTATTGTAGAATGTCAAATGTCAAATCATATTCTTGATACAAATGTGTTTCTGAGTATGCAATGAATGTTATATTTGCACATCTTACTAGATTATTTTTTGAATAAAATCTCCAGTGGCTTGGAAGAGAAGGAAACTTTGAAGATTAGAGAACTTCTGATAAGCTTGGAGTCAAGAAGGCATAAATTAGATTTATTCTTCAGCCGGTTTGTTATGCAGGAGGGTACAAATGAAAGAGATGAAAGTATTGTCTCTTGTGACATGGAAATCTCCAACGCTAACAATAGTGAAGACAATGCAAAGGATTTACCGAGCTCTGTTTCTTCTGGTACAGAAAGTAAACCAACCAGGCCTCAAAATGCCGTGCAGTAAGGCAGGAATGGGAAAGGAGATCCGACTAAATAAGCTGATGCAATTGTGAAGTTTCGTTTAAACTTTATTTGAATGTGTGCATGGTATTATTTAGTATTAATTTGTATGGCATGACATAGAAGCCAAAAATGAATTTTTGTTCAAGATGATCTGGTGGTAAGGACTTGTATTTTTGCAGTCAACTTGGGCAAAACATGTGCTAATTTGTAAGAGTTATGCTACATGTATAGTTAGTTTGACAGATGATGAGGCAACATGTATTTTGACTTTTGATTTGAATTTCATTTATTCAAATTAAGGGGTAAAATGTATGTCACCTCATCATCTGTACAAGTAACTTAAGTGAATTTGTAAAAACAAAGGGGAGGAGCACTAGTCAAGCAGTGTTGGAAATGGAAGAGGCACCTTCATTTTCGAGTCCAAATGAAATTGCATCTTTAACTTATAAATAGGACTGTGTCTTGCACTTCTTACATGGTGAATTCTTTGAGTTCAATATACAGATTACAAAAGTGTTCTTCCTCCTCACTTCTCCACAATTAGTTGGACAATCACTTTTATATGCATTTATGATACACATTGTCATTCACATAGGAAAGTGTATAGGCTATACTATCTAGTCATCCATGAAACGAAGCAAAAAAGGGGAAAGTGTCATGAGCTTGTAGGCCAATTCTTTTTAATATCGAAATAGTATTGGATATCCAAATAGCATTTCCCGCCATCGTCTACAACCTGGAAAAAAAAAAGCATCGTGAGCTGGGGTTTTTCTTAATTTTGTTCTTTCTTCAATATATGTTTAAAATTACCTTGATTCTTGCAGAATACGAGCCCCGTACCAAGATACCGCAAGGTATGATTTCCTCCTCTAATTTGTATCCATAAGGTTCTTTCCGTGGGCTAAAATTTCCTAGCATCAGTTTAGACCTGTTGACTATCATCAAAATACTTTATTACCAGTAATATTACTTATTATAGACATAGACATCGTATCACGAGTGCACTTACTATAATACCATATAACTGTGGTGTTTCCATCCCTAGGACGGCATTGCCCACCTCTTAACACGGATCACATTGGGTCGGGTTTGGCACTATAGTACGAGCTAAAAAGAAAGAAAAAAAATTTGACGAAAACTTTTAACATAATAATGTATCCGACCAGTAGGCGCTGCATGCCGACCATAGGAAAGGAAGCAAAATTGACATGGATATTTGGTTTCGTTGTATGTACCTCGAATACCGGCCTTCCATAAGGTGTTCATGTATTGAAGACCTGATACAACGTTGTTATAGACCATGAAGGAGAATTTGAGTTGGTACTTTGTTCCTTCCTTGAGAGTGAACAGGGAAGCCTTAGGATTCGAAACAAAGGGATGGGACAATATAATTTCAGGTCTACCAGGACAAACTATTGAAAGGTTCAAGATTCTAACATCCGGGTCTAAACTATCTGCTTCAGAAAATCATACAATTGTATCAGTTTATAAAGAACATAATAATATCAAATAAAATAGAGAAGTTTACACAGGGAGAAATTAAAATTTGAATACCATATTTTGCAAAATTACATTTTACATACTGCATTCACTTATTAGCCCATGTTTAGTAGATATTAAAATTACATTTTACGCCCCTATTTGACACACGTTCTTTCAAAACTCATTTTCAATTACACATTTTTCAGTAAAATAATATTTTCCATCACATCAATAACTTTTCCTTATTTTTTAACCACATATTTTCCACCGTATCACTATTTAAAATACATTATTTCCTCGATAATATCCATCAAACACACCCTACGTGCTGCATTCACTTATTCGTTGATTTTGACTTAAATTTTAATTAGATCTTTTAGCGATTCCAGACACGAACTAGTTAAAAAAAAACACATTTTGAATAAAAATGGAAACATTTACAAATTTTCCATTATAAATCACTTAAGAACCAAAGTTCTCCTAATTAAAAAAAAAAAACAAATCATTAGCTTCTAGTATTTAATTTTTAAAGATAATAAAATAATTAGAAAAAGGGTATGTGAAGTCTTATCTAAATTAATATATAGGGTGTGATTTGTTATTTTTACTTAATGTTACTTTGCTCTGTTTAGTCATTTATGATGAAAATTTTGTAAATATTTCTATTTTTCCTGCAAAATATTTTTTTTTTTACAAATAAATAAAATACAATATGTAAAGTGTTAATTTGCAAAATATGACATGTAAATTTTAAATACATCCTAAATACAAGGTGCATTTTTTAAATTTTTCAAGAAAATACCATGCATTTCCTTGCACACTTAACTTAAAAATGTGACTTTTTTCTTGTATACTAAGTTTTGTTTCACTACTCCGTTAATTCATCAATAAAACAAACGGAATGTGCACATGGCAGATGAAAAATAGTACAATACGAAAAATTTATTCATACTGAAATAAAAAATTATACAAATTTAGGAAGGGATATTTGACCTAACCTCTAGTCGATATCAACACAATACGAAAAATTTAACTAGTAAAGTGGGAAAAAAAAAAAAAAAGATTTGATCTCATGTGCCTTGTTACACTCTCATCATCGGCGTTTAATATTTATACCTCTTATTCCTCTACGAGCACTAACATAGAGTACATAATGGTTTAAGCTAGCCAATTCTATTTTCTATTTTGTAATCTAATTATAGAATTTCCAACTTGCCTTTCTTATTTAATCGCCTTTAAATCAACAATTAATGAATACACATTAAAATATTATAACCAATGAAATGAAAAAAAGAAGAAAATGGTTAGGTTAGAATTGAGTACCTTCAACGCTAGATGAAGAATGTGCTCTTCCAAGGAGTCTTTCCTTCCATTTCCTCGAACAACATTTTTCACCCTTTATAAATAAAAAATGTTAAATGATAAATCCGTAATGCATTTTTTTTAAAGTCAAACTCTAAGTTTGTGTAAATTAGATGTACGTACATAAAAAAAGAACGATATATGGAGAGAGAGAGAGAGGTGAATGAACATTAATGTCCTTCTCTACCTGTTCCTTGAGAGATAATTGAGGGCTTAAACATTGTTTTAATAGTTTCGACGAGGCATCATCCCTTTCTTGCTTTATCGGCTTTTCGCTTCTATTTTCCAAATCTTCATTCATTGTATTCTTGTCCACCTTTTGTTCTTCTTTCCTCGTTGAAGAATTGATGATCATGTCTTTCGATGTCATAGGAGTTTCAACAACCCCCGACATTGTGTCCAAGAAAACCTCACCTATATAAATTATTGAAGAAGAGGGCGAGGAAGATGAGGAGAACAATAAAAATGGATACCAATGTTAAAGAGAAGAAAAGGCTCTTTCCATGACATGAGAGGTTGAGATGAAATTAGTTTGATGGCTGATAAAGCATAAAAAAAAATGGACTTTGCTTGGTGTACCGGGGAATGACATACAGGGTAATTACAGGGGTACGTGACATAATACAGTTGAACAGAAAAAAAAAATCACCCACACCCAACGCAGCGTTAGCTTATAAATGCTACTATTTTGCTTTACCACCCCTTGCATATTCCTACCATTCTATTGATAACTTTTTATTATATTAAATAAAACAAATGCAAAATGGTCATTATTTATAACTAATTAAGCACAAAATGATTGTAAAATTTTTTTACACAAAGGTTTGGCGAGTTTTTTTTTTTTTTTTTGAATATTTTTCAGCCCATGAATTTAGAGGTATGAATGGACAAGTCCGGTTGTTCCGATTCTTTTGAGAAGCACATACTTGATGTAGATGGAAGCATAAAACGTTGAACGAAAACACAATCGAAGTCTAGTTGATTTCAAACGGATGCGGCGATAAGCTCGACCTTCTAGTTTCTATTCATTCTTTTGAATGTAAGAAACTAGACATCAAAGACTCGTTGATTTGTGTACGAATATTGTACGAATATCGAAATTGGATTGAAAATTAGAGGAAAACTCACAATTATTATTATTATTTTTTAACCAAAACAAAACCACTAAACAAATTATGAAAGGTACCTTCCAAGTTCCAAACAACTGCTGATAATATAGAGATATTAAAAATTGAGTAATGTCCATCTTCATCGTTCTTCCCAAGTTGATGAAAATCCATCTCCAAATCTTGACCGTGCTGTCACCCTGTGTATCGTAATGGTGGTTGTCGACTCGATAAGTCAGCAAGAAAACATCGACAATAGCATGCTGAACCCACTAACGGTTTCGGAATTTAAGGTTCTATCTTGCAATCTGCTAGGAATAATCCCGTCTTCAGTTCCGACAATGGTCGAGAAATTAGCCTCGCCTCAGTGAATGTAAATTTTAACCGCACTGCAACAATAATTTTCAGTCGCACAGCAGCTGAAATTGAGTAGATCAACAGAAAACCATGCAGACTCCATGTTTGCTGTCATGTTCTGGCAAGAGGCACGAAACTGGAAGACCATGTTGAAATATACAATCCAATTAATCTACATTCTTCTAGTTCATCTATTCACGTGTTCCAACAGAGAAATTCCTCCTTCCAGCCTCTTCTTCCTTATTCCAGATTCTTCTAGTTTCTTCTTTAGTTTGTTATTAGTTGTTAGTTTGTTAGATAGTTTGTTATCTTTTTCTCTATAAATAAACTAGTGTACAATGTAATTTCTCCAAGTTGAATGAATACATTCTTCTTCCCTGCTGCTACAGCACGCTTCCATTTTCTTACCTGTAGTAAATTTCATTTACTTCATGTTTTCTAATAGAATGGTATTTTTAATTTTCTATTTATTTATTTTTAAAATTTTGACCAATCTGATTCAATCCTTTGTCACTCTTCACCTTCTTTTGTTCATATTCCGGACCTATTTTTAAAATATTGAAATTTGAAGTTAATGCCTCGGCCAAATTAAATTTCTGATTAAACTTACTTTATGACTTTTAATCGAGACAAATCCAACAGCCAACATAAATGGCAAGTACGACGAGTATAATTATATGAACAATTATATCTAACATCGATAATGGTCATCATCAATTTAGATGTCAACACATGTCACGTCAAATGATATATTCAATTAAATGTAAAGATATAAAGCTGATTTAATAGGACTTTATGAGGAGGAATTCTGGGAGGGATTTATGAACCAGTAGCTGTCTACCCCATTAGTGAGATCCCTTCATAACTTCAATTCAACTTGAGTTTAGTGTAGATGAAAAATGGTAACAATTCGATAAGTTAAACTAAACGAGATCTCAAACAAATTTAAATATAGCGAGACATATTCAAATTTCGTCATATATCATGAATTCATGATCATTTATGTACCATCGTGTATAGAACTTCCCAAACCCGACCAATATATTTATCCAAGGTTCATTAGGCAGACACAGAATATAAACTTATTGCATTTACAAAGATTCAAGCACAAAATATTATTGACTTTCATATTCATCAGCAAGTGCTCACTCAACCCCGTATTTCCAAGTAGAGGACAAAAAAAATGGAAAGGAAAAGTCGAAGTTGTTAATTAAACGAACTGCTAAAACATGATAGTAGTTCAGTATAGACTAGACAATAAACCAAATGTCGTTTGTTCAAACATGAAAAGAGTCCAAATTACTTGACGAAGGGTAAGGAAGGTTGTCATTACCCCTATTGAAACTGGACAGTATTGATGCAAATTAAGAACGGGAATATTTGGAAAGCTAATTGTTGGTTTTTTCGATACCCAATAAATTTCGGCGATGATAAAAAATAGTTGTCAGATTATTTTAGCTACACCATAGACTTGGCTCGACTCGGAAACGACCTACACTTTTGGATGGCCCAAGTTTGATTTTGGATGTTTATGTTAGCCCATTTATGTGGTTGGTTGTGAGAATTATTTGGTAGCCAATTTAGTGAATTTTTGGCCATTTGGAAGGAGTGTTTTGGCCCAAACTTTATTGACCTAATTGACCTCCTTTTATTCCCCCATTCCAGCCGTTTTCTAGTGTGTGTATTGTGTGCAAAAGTGTGGAGAAGAGAGGAGCCGAGAGAGAGGCAACCAGATTATGGATTGGTGGATTTTTAGGTGAGTTCCAACCTTTGTTATTCTATTCTCCTTCTTCCCCTTGTGGGCTTGCCATCACCACCACCATATCTCCTTTGTGAGCAACCGGGTGTAGGCGTTTTGAATCGAGCCTTGGAAGTGTGGTGTTCGTTTGGTTGTTTTCTGAATCCGAAAATTGGTTATTGGAGCTCCCAAATTCTTATAAATGGTATCAGAGCTTGGGTGGAAGAGAAATCTATGATTTTGGGTGAAAATGGGGGCTGGAAATCAAGCAAAAAACTAGAAAAAAATTCTATCCAGTTTTTGCAAAAAACTGTGGAACTGTTTTTTATGTTTTTCAGACAAACTAGAGGTCGGATGGAGAAACAGACACCACCATTGGAACGTGCAGGCAGAGGAGAATATGGGAGGCTGGCGAGTTGCCCGCGAGTGAGCCCTGCGCTCGGTGAGTGCGGCACGTGGGGTGGTTTTCCGGCGAAGTGGTCTTCAGGCAGTTTTTCAGGGACATCGAGATAGACCCTCAGTGTTGTCGAATTTCAGTTTCAAGCTACATGGTGAAATCGAACAATTTTGCGTTTGGATGTTCAGGTGCCGAGTGTCGTTTCGTGTTGACGGAAGCTTTAGGGCTGATTGCGATAGTCTCAAAGTGGTGAATTTACATCTCTCGATATTTATGGACCTTTAGACGTGGTCCGCTTGGTATCGTGTTATTTACCTTTTATTATTGCAGTTAAAATTATTGTGTAAGATGATTTATTTTCCCATTAGAAGTTATCGTGTGGGATCATGTTAGGTTTGGGATTACCGTGAAGAGGTAATCATTGCATGTTGCTAGACTTAAGAATTACTTATTAATTATTTGCCTTGAATTCTATGTGAATTAGTTGTCAATTCAATTTTTTCATTATTAGAATTGCACGTGACCTTAGGAAAGTTTACTTGACTATTCTGTGTGAACTGTGTCGGTACGTTACTTGTGGTCGTTGTTGGTTGTATTTTGTGTTCTGTGTATTTTTGGATAAAATGACGACACGTTATGAGTTGTACATATTTTAATGAAAATTGAGGTTTTTTAATTTGGTAAAATGAAAATATTTTTCATAAAACATTTTGATGGCAAATGTGGTCTACGGCAAGTGCGAAAATTAAAATTTGTTTTAACTGCGGTAATTTGGATATGGTTGAAATAGACTGTCCTATGAATGATAATAAAAATGAAGATTAGGAAAGTCGTGAGGCGAATTTTGTCATTGGATCGAGTGATGACCCTAGTGAGGTTTATTGAGTGTAAACATTGTTACTGTATGAGCATCTGTGTGTAACTCATTCTGTATGTGTGTGATTTCTCATTTCGATTGCATTATTATATGTGCATTTTTCAATTTGTTTGATATGTGCATTGGCATGAATTGAAGTGATCTTATTACTTGATGTAATTGTATGCATTCATTGTGGGTTGAGATCTATGGTGTATGCTGTTTTGCTCTGTGAGTGGTGTAAGAGAGTGTGGTAGTGAGAAGTTAGAGGGGCAACCATTTTCTCCTTCATCTTTGTCACTTGTGTGGTTTGTGAGATTATGTGATGCAACATATGACGGTTATATTCGCTCTTTGTGTGAGCCTCTTTTATGAGTGCAGTGAAGTACCCAACTCTTTCTTCTATTCTCTTTGTGAGTGTCACATTCATCTTTCCCTTTGTGGTATAAATTCTCTGGGGATTTGTAAAAGCATTGGTGTTGGAGTAACCTTGTGGTGCGTGGGCCAATTTAAATTGAGACATAACCTTTGTGGTCTTCAAAATGTGTTGATTTTCCATAGTGGGTTTGGGATGCATTAGCAGTATGTGTGTGTGTGTGTATGTCTTTTGATAAGGTGGAGTATAGATGCCTAAGGTTACATTTGTGGTTTGTACCGTGGGATGTGGAGTGTGACATTTGGATCACGGTGGAGAGGTGATCAAATGTTGCAATCCTTTATCTGGAAGAGACCCTGATCAGGTGGAGTGTGAGTGAGGCACTTATATTAGGTGGAGACCCAGTATCCACGTAGGTTGGGAGAAGTGATATGGTGATAGAGGATTATCCCGAGAACTTAGGAGATATAGAGATTTAGTAGTTAGCCATATTTGTTTGAGTGATTAGTCTAGTGAGTATTGTGGGCGACGAGGTGAGATATGTGTTCTCTAGGTGTGAGCAACAAGGAATGTAATAGGATAAGTGTGGTGAGATCTTCTTCGTGAGGTCATTTATGTTAGCCCAAGAATAACTAACCAAGAGGGGAGTGAATTGGTTATTAAAACTTTTTCGTTAATCACTCAAGATTTTAATAAGTGAGCATGCAATTGACAGAGAATAGTCTAAACACGAGTAAACACGTAAATGGAACGATGTAAATTTGCGCGAAGTAAATGCGTTAAGTAAAAGGGATAGAGAATGCAAACGATATGTTATGGAGGTTCGATCCAATCCAATGATCTACGTCCCCCATTACCAAACTCTCCGTCACGAGCAAGGCCAAATGCACAGTAATGGTAACTTATAATAAGGGATACCAATCCTTAAGTGACTTACAATAAGGAGCACTTATCCTTAGGTGATTACAACAAGGAGTACCTACTCTTAAGTGACTTACAACAAGGAGCACTTATCCTTAGGTGACTTACAATAAGGAGCACCTATCCTTATAATCGAGTTTTCACAAGGCTCTCGAAACCGTCAAGAAATAAGTGATAAATTACAATGAAGAAACTCTCTTAACAAATGATATAACCAAGTTAAGTATTAGAGAGTTAGGTAAACACTTCAATAGATAGCAAATAATAAAGCTCAAGTATTGATGTTGTAAACTTTGATGAATAATGAATAATGAAATAGTTTGTATCTTTGTATCAAAGTTTTTCAACCAATGATCTCTCTTAACAAATAATACAAGTTAAGTATGAAAAGAGATTTACATTTTAATACAAGTGTTGGCAAAGAAAACATTTATCAAGAATTGAAGAATAGATGAGATTGAGAAAGTTTCTTTGCAAAAAGAATTCTTGATGAAATAGATGAAACTA